TGGATTGATCACAAGTACAGAGCAATGAAAATTACTTTAGAAAATTATAGTGTGTTCACCCAAGTATCAAAAAGAGTTAAAAGGATTTTAAAGCGGTGGAAAAATGTGTCAGTACCTATTTATCTGTCAATATACCTTGATGTTTTTTCTCCCCTTAGGCATTTGAGTTTTCACAATATTTATGATCTGGTAAAAGCGGTAAGAAGAGTTCAAGAACTTACATGGACAATGGCCAAGCCGTAAATACTTCACAAAAATTCTGTTGACAATTTGCTTGATGACACAAGGGTCATGACCCAATATCAAAAACTGTTTAAAGATAAAGAAATTATTAATTCAAAATATCATTATCAAAATGTTACACTTTCTCAGTATGCCGAAGTTAATAGCAAGGTTCTTGAGCAGTGCAAACTAGTTATTGCAAATATTTCCATAAGTATGGAAATGGGTTTTTAATCTCTCCAAAAATCACCATTGTTTGTGCATTTAGTACCTTTACTTGATGTTTTTAACTGACCATTAAATACAAACGATAGTACTTTTGGCAACAAAGCTATCAGTTGAGTCATTGATTGTTTTTCTGATTTATCAATTGGTATAGGATGTGACTTGTATAATATACTTCCTGAATAGATGACATTAAAAACATATATGTTTCCAATCATAAGTAACAATCGAAAAGAATATTATTTGAAAATTTGGGAAATTGTTTTTTCAAAACCAAATTTGGTCAAGGAATGACACAATATTCTTGATATATTTAAACTATTTTTAATTTATCCATTTACAAATGCGAAGGTTGAACAAATGTTTTCCTCTATGAACAGAACAAAAAATGACTGGAGAAGCTGTCTAGGGCAAGATCGTTTGGAATCTCTACTTCGGAAAAGTGAAGACAATACCGAGATTAAAGAATTTGAACCAGATGCTGCTATGGACAAATGGTATAACGATAAAGTAAGACATTTTTCCACAAATTGTCATTATTAACCAGAAAAAAGAAAAAAAGATTTTAGGAAATTCTAACATAGATCTAGCGACTATAACAATTTCACAATTTCAGATTTAAAAGATAGTGTAAGCGAGTAAAAAAGCTTTATTTAAGTTGCTAACATTTATGATAGTTAACTTTTTTTTAAACTTAGTCTAAGCGTCATTGTTTTTTGCTTCTTAAAAACAGTTCAAAAAGTAGAAACATTCTGTAGCAAACATTAAACGAGTGAAATGAAAATCAAGTTACAAATAATAAAATTTTTTTTTTTTTTTTTGAAAAATATTTTTAAAAATAATATTTCAAAAATATTTTTCAAAAAAAAAAAAAAAATCTGAAATTTAAGTATATTTAAGTATATAAGATTTATGCTTAGAAAGTAATAACGTGTCATTTAACCAAATGATTTTCTTTTGCTTTATCTATTGCAAAACAATTGAAGGAAAAAATTTAATCAAAACGTAAAAAAACTTAAAAACCCATAGAATGAAAAAATTAATTATCAATAAGCAATTAGTTAAAATAGAACGTGGATATGTATATGTATATATATATATATATATATATATATATATATATATATATATATATCTATATATATATATATATATATATATATATATATATATATATATATATATATATATATATATATATATATAGGCTATGAAAAGCCCGTCTTAAATAGACTTGGCAGGCTAGGAGGGCCGCCTGCCTCGATGATCTCACGCAAGCTTTTTCAAACTTAATTATTAAATTTATAACATAATGCAGTAACTGTTTGGTATTATATCAAACAGTTATCGTCATTTTAAAAATGTAAGATTTAGTTATATTATTTTTTACATCATATTATATAATAATCATTAAATTGTTTAATTTTTATATTTAAATATAAAAAATTATAACTTGGAGTTTGCTATTCATATTAAAATGATGTCATGAGAAAAGTTTTAAAAGAGTAACAAAATAAAAAAACATCAAAATATTCCCCTTTTTTTACACAAGATTTATGTTTGACAGGCTTTATTTGTTTGAAACTGACTTAGACGGGTGCAGAGACGGGCATGGGCCAATTTTTTTTGCAAAAAAAAAACATTTTCTTAAGCTTTATAACATTTCAAAAATACAATTAGTTGTGTATAATAAGTAACAAATTACACCAAATATAAATTAATAATATAATAAGTAACAAATTACACCAAATATAAATTTTTTTAATTTGTCACTATACTAAAAAGGATATAATCACTATTTGTGTAAACAATGTCTAATTAATTATTTAATTTATTATGCATTTTAATGTAATATTCAATTCTAAATCCCATGTTTAATTTTAACACTAAATTTTTTATTAGTCTATTTGTTATTAATATAACTTTAAACAAGTTTTAATTGATTAAACAACAAGCTTTTAACTCTTTCACTACTGCAGACCTTGCGATAAAGCATCGGGCGATGTGAATTTTACGTCATCCAAGAGTAATTTTGCGTGTAGCTAGGGCTATTTGCGTCGAGCAAAAAAATTTTTGTTTGAGTATATTTAAAGATATTTTTTAGCGGAATTTTAATGAAGTAATTTACGATTATTTTAATATTTAATAAAGTATTTTAAAAACCGCACGCAGTTGATATAAAAGTTTAAATTACAAAAAAATTAAATATGCTCATTATTTACAAGAAGGAAAAATTCAGATTAAAAAAAAAGTTTAAATCTTTTTAAGCATCTTAATAAAAATATTCAGCAATAGCAAAGTTGTCGATAAAATTGAACAAAAATTCTTTCTTTTAGTTTTAGATTTTTAACTTAATTATTCTATGAGGGTTTGCTGGGGTTTTAAAATTATTCCATAGATTTAAAAATATTTATTAACTGTTAGACGTATTTAAAGTATTTATAAGTAATTTCGAGAAAACATTTTAAAAATTGGTAAGCGCAAATAAAATAAAAAAAAAAGGATTAATATTCAAACGTATTCAAACTTGTAATAAAAAAGTACAGTTATTAAAATTTTTGTAAAAAGCTTGCTCAAGAACAGCTGCTGAAAAATAGAACGTCAATAGTTTGATAAGTTTATATAACCTGGTTTTGTTACTCGGTTTCTACCGATGTAAAGAGAATTTCCACAAACACCCTGAAAAAGGCTCAATAAACGTAAAAAAATAAATAAAAATTAACTCTCATATTTAACCATGTAATGTTTTCTTTTTTTTATTTTAGCGCACCTTATATTAAATATAGTTCAATATGCAAATTTTTTCGCTGAAATATGTCTTTTATACCGCTTACAGTAACTTTCAATCTTTTTAAATTCTTACGCAAAATACTGGTAATCGGCTTTAAAGTATGCTCCAGAATTTATCCTTTTTTGTACATAAATTTTCATTCTAGACACATAATTAGTTTGTTTTTAAAGTTTAATTAACTTTCTACATAATCAAGAACCATATTGCGTAATTATAGCAAGTCATCACTTGACAAAGTTAAAAAATCTAGAGAAATACTTGATAAAAAAAAAAACTTCTTTAAATTAGTTCTAAAATAAAGCAGCGTTAACACTGTAAAATTTAAGTATTTAGCTAAGTTATTAAAAAAGAAAAACATTCTTATTATACATTAAATAAGTTTTGTTTTGGATTTAATGTTTTAGTTATTATTTATAAAAATAATGGTTTGAAGAACTTTGCATTTCTTGTTGTTAAACGATGTGTGTTATTCAATTAAAAAGTTTATTTGTTTAGTTTTCTATTGATATATAGTTTGTTATACTTTCTAGAATTTACTATTCGAACTTTAATTAGTTTTTTTACAATATTTGTACATAATAAACACAAGCAGTGATATTTCAAAGAAAAATATAATGAATAATTTATTTCAAAACAGTATATATAATTAGAGGTATAAAGAAATTCAGGCCGAAAATCAAAAATTTCGGAATTCAAGCCGGAATGCCGGAATTGGAACTTATTTTAACTTTATTTTTTGATCTGCCTCAGGTATGGCAACAGTATTCCACACAAGGACAGATTTGAGATATATAAAGATAAAGAACAGACTCTGGAATAAGATAGTGGCGAGCCTGATTTTACTTTTCACATGATGGTAGGATTGTTTCCTTAAAAAACTTTCCATTTGGAATTAGGTATTGTGATTGCATGTGACCAACCACTCAATGAACATCTTATCTTCAACTACAAAAAAAAGTTGATTGCTCATCGCAATAAAATTTAAATTCTCTATGGAAAAATTCTTTATTCAACTTTGGATAAGCCTCCTTCATATTCCAAATTTTCTCTCTCGTGGTGTCTTTTTATTTTTATTTTCCTTTTTCAAAACTTACATATAATCATATAATAACAATAATAATAATAATAATAATAATAATAATATCTATAATATCCATAATAATAGAAACAATACAACTATAATAAAATATAACTAATAAGAATAAATATAAATAGTTATTTGAAAAGGAAGGTGTCATTCAAACAGAAGCCTGATCAAAGGAGTGACACCAATTAACTATAACAATAATTAAAAAATAATAATATTATCTATAATGATACAAATAATATAATTATATTAAAATATAACTAATAAGAATAAATATAAATAATTATTTGAAAAGGAAGGTGTCACTCAAACAGAAGCCTGATCAAATGAGTGACACCAAATAATTATAAAAATAATTAAATAATAATAATATTATCTATAATGATACAAATAATATAATTATTATATTAACATAGTCTTTAACGATTGATCAGAAATGGTTAATAAGTCAATTTTAAATAGTAAGAAACAACAAGTTGGCTCGCAAATATTTAGAACAAAAATCTTTTAAATATTATTTTATAAAATATATTATTGATTACCTATAGATATTTCTTTTAAATCAATGTTTATATCAAGTTTAACTTTAAATCAAAGTTTAACCTTAATATAAATATACCTTTAAATATTTGTCTTTAGCCCTATATATTTAAAAACAAAACATACAATACTAACCTATACATAATATGTTAAATGCAAATCCAGAATTAACAGATTTATTAACAAGTTGATCTGGTAAACTATCAAACCCAACATGCCCTGTTAAACGAAGACTTCTACCATTGGGACCCTATAATATAATTTAATTGCTAAATTAATAAGTAAAAAATACACAAAACATAATTGCAGTTAAATATTGATGTCTAATAAAATAATAACAACACTATAAAACTTGAAACATAAAGCTTCATTATTATTATTATTTTTCAACATTTTTTTCTTTTAAAATCATGCTTGAAAGCTACAAAAAACATTGAGGTTTTCATGATATTTTACATTTAGTAGCAGTCTTTTTAAGAAAAATTTCATTTTTAAAAGAATTCTTGTCATATATGAAATAATAAAAAAAAAAAATACAATTTCAGAGAAACTTTTAAAAGTTCATGTAATCTGTAATTATCCAAGCAAAGTAACTATGGACAATTTTTGCAGGGCTCTATTTGATTAACATAACAATTCATTATTTAATTTATTAACCATTTTTAAATACTCATATAATCAAATTACTATTTTGCTTTCAAGTTTATTATTAAAATCAAAATTTTTGCTGGTTATTTGTTTTTATTTTTAATTTCTTTGAGAGTCAGAGACATTAGTATTTCTAAGCTTAAGTTATAGTAAAATTGGTGGTAATAAATTTGAAGAGCCTGTTTACAAAAGTATGATACATTTTTGTCATAAGTCTTGTTATAAGTTTTCTCAATGCATATTTGATATTTTCCATCTCTCTCTCTCTCTCTTTCTCTCTCTTTCTCTCTCTCTTTCTCTTTCTTCTCTCTCTCTCTCTCTCTCTCTCTCTCTCTCTCTCCTCTCTCTCTCTCTCTCTCTCTCTCTCTCTCTCTCTCTCTCTCTCTCTCTCTCTCTCTCTCTCTCTCTCTCTCTCTCTCTCTGTAATAAAAAAAATTATTTTGTGTATAGTATATATTGTGTATATTATATTGTGCTTTATTGCTTTTGTTGCTATTTAATGTTGTCATGCAATCTTTGATTTTTTTCTTTTTAGTTAAATTCATATTTTTATTTTATTTACTTACATTAGATTATATCTATGATTTTAGTTTAAATAAAATTTTCAGAAATTTTATTTAACTTGCTTCAATGATTTTTTCAATGATTATTTCTTCAAAATAATAATAATATAAAATGATAATAAAAAGCTACACAATAATTGATGTAATTTTATAAGCATATTCAAAAATGATAAAGGTGCAATTGTTAAATTTTATAAATTAACACTTGACTTTTCATGATAAACACATAACTTCAGTAAATTTTTATGTTTTTATAAGTATTAATGTTATTTTAAATAGTAATCAGGTATAAAAAAAAAAGATGAATATAAGAATAAAAAGATAATTTAATGCAACATATATAGCAAAATTCTTTATCTTTATTCAAAATATTAAATTATAATTTAAAAAATTTATAAATGTTAACAGAAACTTACAAGAACTCTGTGTGCATTGACTTCTCCAGTCATACTTTTTAGGAATGAACTATCTGTCTAAATAATAATTATATTTGGACATTCATTTTCTTTTTTTACAAACACATTATAAGATATATCTCTGAACACATAAATAATTTTTAGAAAACCTAAATAATTTTTGAATAAATCGGCTATGCGAAAAATGTTTTAATGCTTTTTAGGTAATTAGGTATATATTTTTTTTCATCAGATTATTAGAATCTGATTTATTTATAAAAATTTAAAATCTCATCTTAAAATTGACAACTATTTACAAAAATCTGCCCAACTAATTTGGAAAATTTAGATTACTTTACCAAGTAGAGGAAATAAGTGAAGGACATAAAAAAATAAACTAAAGAACCTTATTATTGTGCGTAAGTTGCACCCCTTTTGCATGTTGCGCCTGCGCACTATTACTGAACTTTTATGACAGCGCCACTAACTCTTCTGAAAAAAATTTCCGACTATTCATTATCATATACAAAAATGTAAAAGCACCGATGCTTATGTATAAGTTCCTATAAATAATGAATACTTTTTGAATCAATAGTTCAATTTAGAAATATAGAATCATTGGTAATTTATTTCATCACCGTTTTATAATAAATAGAACCAGGGCCGTCCCAAAGAGATCTTAAAAGGTATGTTTTTTGCCGAATTAGTCCAACAAAAGTTTTGTTGCCGCGTAAGATCTAGAAAAAAAAGTCCTCGTTGCCGACTATAGATCCGCTTTTTCCGACTCGAGTGTCCAAACACTACCCGACGGGCATTTGTTTTTAAAAGTTACGTTCTAAATGTATTTTAAATGACTTTTAAACGTTTTTTGCGTAAGAATGTTTAGAAGACGTTTAAAAGACATTTAAAATACATTTAGAACGTAACTTTTAAAAACAAATGCTAGTCGGGCTAATAACAAATTTCGTAGGGGGGCTAAACACCCTTCACCCTTCTGCCTTGGAACGCCTCTGAATAAAACACGAATATTCCTTAAATGTTGGTATGCATAGAGAATTCAAGGGGAACTACAGACTAACAACAATATAATATATATCATATTGTTGTAATTTTAAAAATAATTTTTGTAAAAAAGATTAACTTTAAAATAATACTTTCGTGTTCGTAATTACCAATACACAAATTACGGATGTAAAAAAAATGTTTTTTTCCTCTTTTTGAATAGCCGTAGTTGTTGTTGTTTTTTTCCTTTGACGTTAACCTTTGTTGACCTGCCTTTGACAAAAATGTCAAAAATTTCCGGACCCCTTCCACCGATTTTGTTGACGTCCTAACCTAAAATGATAATCAAAAAAAAAACCTTAGTTCTAAAATAAAAATTTCGAAAACAGATAAACTTATTTTTTGGAAACTTATGGATAAGTTGATTTTTTTAAAACATAAATAATGTTGATATATATTATCAACATTAATTTATATTTTAAAATAAGTTTATCTGTTTTCGAAATTTTTATTTTAGAACTAAGGTTGTTTTTTTTGATTCTCATTTTAGGTTAGGACCATTAACTACGTCAACAAAATCGGTGGAAGGGGTCCGGAAATTTTTGACATTTTTGTCAAAGGCAGGTCAACAAAGGTTAACGTCAAAGGAAAATTAGACAGCATTTATAGTCTTGCATTACATACTCACTCAACCTTCAGTATTTTAATGACATTAGGTATATTTCTACTTTTTTTTAAACCGTGTTATGCTTTAAAAATACCTTCACACATACAGAACTAAAAATAAGCACACACAAGATTTTTAATCGTAACACTATTTTTTCAAAGTTTGGGTTTGTTGGTCAGCTGTAAAAACAAATAAAGATTTATGTAAGTACATAATCTATATTATATTATTTAAATGTTTATACCAGGGGTTGGCAACCTGCTGCTCGCAAGCCAAATTTGATGTTAAAATTTCGATTTTGATATCTCTCCATCTCCATGCACAAATACTATTATAATATTGAAAATAAGATGTGAGTAGCTCTTTTTATTATTACAATTTTATTTATTATCGACTTCTCTAATATCGACTTCTCATA